TCCGGCCCGCGCCGCGCATGCGCTCCGTCCCCCCCTTAAAGGGCCAGCGCGTTCCCGCCGGGCCCTCCGCCTCCCGCGGCCGGCCCTGCGCCCCAAGTTATCTGTAGGAGGCAAGGTGTCGTCCGCTCGACTCTCACCTCTCTGTCAGGGCGCGGCGACGTCGGCGCGGAGCCGCGGAGGAAGTTCGCAGCGTGCTGCACGGAGCGCAAACGGCACGGAGATTCCGGGCTCGGGAGGCCCGCGGTCGGGAATTTCCTAAAGGAAGCACCTCGCAGGGGCCCTCAGGGGGTAGGAGCGAGAGCTCCGGCCTGGAGGACCGGGTTCTAGACAGGAGTTAGAGTCTAGTTTCCTGCGGGACATCCTACAGATCGCTTCCCTCAGTGGGCCTTGGTTTCCCCATCTATCAGCCGAGCTCGTCACCCCGGGTGAGCGCAGAGTCCTCCTGGCATGCGGGCTCCTTAAAGGAGGACATCTGGGGGTTAGGGTCACGACTTCTGGAAGCGAAAGGGTTAAAAGCCACCCAGTTCCACCCCAAGACCTCCACCAGTGGGAGGGGCAGGCGCGGGGATCGCCCCTAGTTGGCTTCCCTGGACCCGGCGGTGGGCGCCCTCGTGCCGCCGGCAGAGGGGCCGCTGCGCCCCAGGGTTTGGGAACCGCGCGTCCCGTGGGAGTGTGAGGCGACGGTCCTGCAGGGTCCAGCCGGCTCAGAAGAAGGGGAAAGGACAGCCCATTGCTGTGTGTGGGCCCAGGACTGCGGAGACCCAAGGCAACCTTTTCTTCCCCCTCCACGGAGCAGTAACGCGGAAAAGGCGCGAACAGGGAGCAGAGGGAAAGAACTTTAAAGGAGACAGATAGTCATGGGCGCTTTAAGCCTTCTGTCCTCTCTCCCACCAGGAGTTAGTATGAATGACAGTCTTGTGCGGGTGGGGGGTGGGGTAATGCAGATTCCTGGGCTCTGGCCTGCCAACCCGCATATGTGGATTGTTTAGGTCTGTAACTGCTGCGTTTCTCACCACCCCGTCTCTGACAAGCTGAGGTTTCTACACCTGGGCTGGGACAGAGAAGGCCCTGGAGAATCAGGAGGTGCTCAGTGGTTCCTCCTCTGTTCCCTAAAGTTATCCCTGGTGTTGAACTTCCTAGGTCCCCTGAGCTCCAGTAGCTACCTCTTGCTGCCTCCAGGGTCAGAAACCAAGGGTGATGAGTGATGGGAAGGGTCATGGGACTTCAAGAAAGCTAGGTGAGAGGCGATCCTCTTAAGCTCACTGAGGCAAGAAGACTCCGAGCATGAAAACCACCAAGCACCAACAATTGCAACCTACTCATTGTACAGATGGGAAAACTGATTCTCAGAGAGCAATTCCTTCAAGCTCACACAGATAATAATTTGAACTGAAGCCTTCTTTAGACACTTACTTTTCACCCTGCACTTGGCCTCTTGCGCTAGCTAAGTGGTTGTGGTAGTTTAAACGTGTTTGCAAGTTCTTTACCACCTCTCTTTTCAAAAGATGTTGGCTACTTCCCCTCCCCTTGACTGTGGGCTGGGCTTAGCGACTGATGTTCTAATGAACAGAACGTGGTGGAGGTGATGCTATCTAACTCTTAAGCTCAAGTCATAAAAAGGAGACGTTCCTCCTGTCTCTTTCTTACTTTCCCAGGACAGCCACCCTTGAACCTAGCCACCCTGCTGTAAGGAAGCCCACACCACATGGAGAGAGGACAGGAGGTGCTCTGGCTGACATCCCCAGCTAGGCTCTCAGCTCACAACCAGCATCACTCATCGGATAAGCGGTGAACTGAGATTATTCCACCACCAGTCTTTGAGTCTTCCAGCCGAGGTCGCAGACAAGGAGCAGAGATAAAGCCAACCTCGCTGTGCCCTGTCTGAATTTCTCTCCCACAGAAAACAAGAGATAAGAAGCAATCATTGTTGTTTTAAGCCAGTAAGTTTTGGGGTATTTTGTTATGCAGCATTAGATGATTAATTCTGTGAAACGACACTTCCTGAAATGACAAATAATAAAATGGATTTGGAGTCTTTATTCAAACATTCTAACAGGAAATAGTTACTGAGCATGTGCCTGGCTCTGTACGAGGCACTGGGGATACGGTGGTGAACAAGAGGAACATGAGCTTTGCCCTGGTGAGGCTTATGGTCTACTACTGGAAGAGATGGTTAAACATGATTCTAGTAAAGTGCTTTGCCAGAGACTTAGTCCAGGAAGCTATGAGAGTGCATACCCAGGGCAACTTGCCAGTTAAGTGGGTTGCTGGGGAAAGAAGAAATGAATTGGATACAAGGCCAGCATGATCTAGCCTAGAGTTTTCTGGGATATATTCGTAGAAGGAGGAGGAGACAGATGTCCGGCAAGGTGGGAGAGGCATACAAACAGATAAAAAAATGGTGAAACTAGAGAGGGATGTGCCTTAATCTCATTTTAGCAGAAAGTTGAGCAAGGACACATATCTTGCCTGGGTCACAGAGCTTGTGAATGGGGCCCAGATCTCGGGTCCTGCATCAAACCCTCCCACGGTTCCCCATACGTATACCCAGGAAACAACACCTCTGGTGACACTTTGGTCACTCCCTCATTTGGCTCAAAGCTCTTATGACTAATTCTTTTGCCACCTTTACAAAAACTCTGGAAGAAATTTGGATGAGTTCATTTCCATTTTACAGATGGAGAAATGATGCACAGGGAAGGTAGGCAGCTTAAGTACGTGGTTTAGGAGCCGGCATGTCAGGGCTGCTAGGTACTGCTGATGTGCTTGGATGATGATAGCGATGATGATGATAATGATGCCTAGGTCACATCATATCTCACTTATTACTGTCACACTAGGGAGTAATATTCTGGAAACTAATACACAGTGTCTTAGGGAATCAACATTGGTATTAATCTGCTCCAACTCATTTTCTTGCAACACTGAAGCTACAGTCAGATTCCTGGAAAGGAGTCTGGTTGACTGAGTTGGGGTTCTGGGCCCACCCCTTGGCTGGAAGAGGGCAGGGCAACTTCATGAACTGCCCCCAAAAGACCAAAAAGGCAGTAGGGGCAGGGGGCTGCCCTAAATGAAAACAGGGCACCGTTAGTCAAAGAGGGGCATAGAGGAGCACAGCTCTAGGTATGTTTGTGAAAGGCAGACACTCTATGTCTGCACTGTCCAGTAAGGTGGCCAGAAGTCACACATGGCTATGTGATTCACATGACATAAAATTAAAAATCTAGTTCTCAGTCACACTAGCCACATTTCAAGGGCTCAAGAACCACATGTGGCTTATAGCTACTGGGTTGAACGGCACAGATTATAGAACATTTCCATCATTGCAGAAATTTCTATTGGATAGCACCGCTCCAGGATTCTTATTTGCAATTCAACTGTTTGTTCTTTTACCTCATACATCGTCAATAGGGAAATAGCAAAAAACCTGAGTCAAAATCTTCACTAACTTATTCATCAAACATATACTAAGTGTCTACTTTTGAATCATACATTGCTGTAGGTACTAGGATGCTGAGAGGGACTTTGGAGAGATCCTGTCCGGTGGATCTCATGTTAGAATCATTTGAGAGCTGTTAGAAGTACTGATATCCAGGCTCCACCTAGCAGAGACCCTGGTGAAAGTGGTTTGGGATGGGGCTGGCAGCCCCTTAGGGTGGAAGACCTCCCCAGGTGATGTTAATGTGTTGCTGGGCTGGAGAACCACGACAGTCTGGTCTGACTAGGGAAGTGATTTGCTTCAGACAACCTGAAAACCTGAATCTGTGTGTGTGTGTGTGTGTGTGTGTGTGTGTTTCTGACCTCAGGGTCCTTATGGTAACATCAGAACTCTCCGTGGATGTGGCATCTAGCTGATCAAATACAAAATTCTTAAGGAAGAACAAGTCAACTCTTCCTTAACCCAAAGAGAATCCAATCCAAAACCAAAAGAACTTTTGGTTTTAAATCACTTCTTTCTCAAACTGTTTGCATGTTTTGTGCCTGGACCTGCCTTATTCAGCAAGCCGGGGAAATCCTTATAAAAAGACTGCCTATTCCAAGTACCTAGTGTAGGTCAGGCACTTCCTAGGCAGTGTTATTTAATCCTCAGGACACTGTTACAAAGTGAGTTTTGCTGACATCAGTTTATAGAGAAGCAAACTGAGATGCAAAGAGGATAAGGATGAAAACTTGTCCAGGTTGGTACAGCTGGGATTCCAGCTCCAGATTTCTGACTCTTTCCCCTTCGCCACCCAGCACCTATCCATAGTCAAGAGTGCAGGGCAGCCAGCAGACAGGGGCATGGTGCCTGATCTGTGGAGGGAAGAAAGCTCTGTGGAGGTGACATGCAGTCCTTCGTGTGTCAGGGATCACCCTGGAGCTGATGTGAGTTCAGTGAGAGTACTGGGGGCCTGGACGGAAGGGGGATTCAGGGATAAAACAGATGAGGGGATTGGGAGTGGAGTTCTTTTACGCAATGGTTGTGTCTGGATTCCTTTTACCAAGGGATTTGGAGGAAGCAGCTAAGAATAGTGTTGTACCTGGAACACTGAGCTCTTAGATACCTAGCAATTATGATATATGCTTGGTAGAAGCATTATCTATTCTTGGCCTGGATTCCTGTGGGCTTGCAGAATGTCTGTGTCGCCATGTATCTTTGCAATCTGAGTCCCTGCCTGATACTTCCTGGGCAGCCTGGCCTGGCCTCGGGGAGCTGTGAAGGGACAGGGCTCATTGTGTCCATTCCAAACAACTTGAACAGTGGGGGAGATATGTTTCTCTGTGGGCCACCTCATACAGTAATAGGAGATCCTGGCCTTGGAGAACAGAAGGGCTGCCCTTGGACTGCATCAGGGCTTGTCTGTATGGCATTTAGCAGGTCTCTGTGGGAGCCAAGCCACGACTGGCCATAGAAAGAGCATAGACTATCACAGCCAGAAAGAACCGTAGAGATCTTTGCAGGTTTCGTTTCACAGATGGGAAACTGAGGCTCAGTGAGCTAACAGGACTTCCTTTGAATTACAGCCTGTTAGAGACAGGGGTCACACTTGCAGTCAGGTCTCCCTCCTGGCCCAGTAGGCCTTCCCTGATGTCTTCATCAGCAGGAGAAAAGGGGTAGTAGGTGAGCCGCGGAAAGCTTTGCGGTGGCAAGAGGTAGAGATGGTATGTTCACATTTGCTCCCGGGTGTCGCCGAGCTATGTCAGCAGTTGGGTGTGGACTGGGTATGTGTTTAGGAAGTCTCCATTCAATCTGAAGGACTGGAGGATGACCACTCTCATTTTCCAGGCAGATCGCACTTCTCCAGGCTTGCATCCCTCCTGTTAGGAAACTGGCATTTCCTTTGACTTTCTTCTGCCTCCACTAGAGCAGGTGTTTGGCTGGTGACGGGTTATTGAGTTGCTCAGCCAGGAATGGCCCCAAGCAGTGGCCAAGACTCTGGCAGTCCCAGAAAGAATGGAAAGGCCAGTGTCAGCGTCCCCGCTCACTGGAAGGGCCTGGGACTTGGTGACAGGGAGACACAGAGGCTGAGATGTTGGTGTATCCTGAAGACTAAATCAAAACCATTTAAAGGTGTGGGGCCATGTATAGGTCCCCGAGATGGGCTGGGTTTATTTCTTAATCCTTGGCTTCCAGGGAACACTTCACTTTAGTTCAACAATTTCCGAGCACCTACTACGTGCATGGCATAGCCTAAGATGCAGATGTATGCAGGACATTACTTGACCTTCTGGGTTATATCTAGTGAGGTGTGTCCTGATAACTTGGTGGGAACCTGCCACGTGCCAGGGGTTCTCCACAACATTCCATGTAACCCTGCCCTTAAGCTTGTAAATTAGGATTCTAATTCTCCATTTTTCAAATGAGGAAATGGTCTCAGAGAAGCTAAATGACTGTTTCTGCGTTTTAGCCAGCGGGTGGCTGAGCCAAGGCCCGGGCCCTTCCCCTGTACCAGGATGCCGCCAGCTAACTAGCATATCTCGGGGAGTCAGGCCAATACCCCAACCCAGGCTCAAACAAGGTGTTTGCAGAGCATAGAGAAGGGAGAGCTTCGTTTTCATCTTGGCAACCGTGTTTGGCTTTAGGCACTGTTGATACTTGGGGCTGCATGATCCTGTGTTGTGGGGAGTGCCCCGTGCCTGGCAGGAGGCTAAACAACCTCCAGGGCCTCTACCCACGAGTTGCTGGTAGCATTGCCCCATTGTGACTCCTGGCATAGAATCACAGGTGGTAGGAAAGAAATGGTCTTCCACCTGGGCCTGCGAGAATCCTGTAAATAAGACAAGGATTTGGGCAATTGGAGACAGGAGGAAAACAGTCACTTGCTTACTGCTTTTCCACTGGACAAAGAGTTTCCCCTTTGGTCTCCCCCCTGGCCCCGTGACGTGCCTGAGTCAGCACACAAAACAAACAGCTGCATCAAGTCGCCATGGGACTGCCGTGCACCAAGGGGCCCTGCATGGATTGCAGGCGTCCTCGGGAGCCAGGTCCTTCCTGGCCTCTGTTCGTTCAGCCTGCAGTTAATGCCTCGTTTTCGGCTTCTGGCCCCTATTCCCTTTCCGGGGGGGCTCTTAGAGAATCCATTTACCATCGCCACCACCAAGTATGCTCCCCCAGCACTCACTTGGAGTGTGGCTGTGTTAAGGGCTTTATAATGGTTAACTCATTTAGCCCTCACAGCACCCCAAGAGGAAGGGGTTCTTACTATCCCCATTCCATGGTGGTGGGGAGGGAGATGGCAGCCAGCCAGAAGAGGGGGAAGTAACATGCCCAAGTTCATGCCTGTGCAAAGTGGCAGAGGCAGGATTTGAACCCAGGCCTTGTTGATTCGCCTCTCTTAACCTCAGTATGCTACCGTCTCTTAAGAGTGTCCTTCCCTCATTTGGCAGCCCACTGGGCTTTATGCGCCCCTCGGATGAGTTCCCAGGAGAACCACAGGCAGCAGCGGGCCCCAGCAGGCTTGATGGTGGTTGGGGAGGGGGATGGTGAGGGCTGTGGAGGCTGTGGGAGGGAAGACAGTGTTTCTGGTGGTGCTGGTGGATCCTCCCCCAGGAAAGGGCA